CTTGGTAACAGAAATAGCGTAAACCCCCAGCGGGCTGAGTCAGTGTGCATCCAGGTGCGTTACTGGGTCAGGTGTGCGCTGTGGGAGCGTCACGGCTGCTCTCTGGCCTGCGCTTCGCGGTGGACACAGACGGTGGCTGCCCACCTCCGCGTCTCAGAGCCAGCAGTGACGGGTCCCACACCTCTACTTGACTCTACACCCCGACAGCCGGTGTGTGGGCGTGTCGCCTCCTGTGTCTCCGTGAACAACACGTGGGCATTTCACAAACGTGGCAGAGTGGGCGTGGGCTACCGCAGACAGAAAGTGGGAGAGAGGGAAACGACACTGCCTCAGTGTAACTGGCATCTAAGACTTTTCCGACGTGAGGACGCGCTGTGGCCCGAGGCTCCCTGCGGCCAGACAGGAGGGAGGCAACGTGTAGCCAGTGCAGTAGAGAGGAAGTCGCTCCAGGGAGCAGTGCATTGGGGGTCACAGAGTTCCTCGCTGCAGGGCCGTGGGGATAGAGCTGCAGGCACTGACGGTCACCAAACGCTCCTTCCCGTGGGAACGTCACGTGTCATGTGAACAAGAGGCAGAGCCTGTTCCAACTACTCTTGTGTTCTACCGAGAAACAAAACATTCTAATTCTCAGTTTATTATTTTAACGTTTATTTCTGTACACAGAACTGGGGTACAGGCCAGAGGTGCAGGGGCAGTGAGGGGATTCCCCAGAGACAAAGTGGGGAGCAGACTGACGAAGTCTACTGCTGAGGGGAGCAGTGGGCAGGTGAGGGGAGGTCGAACTTGTGTTGCAGTGGCTGCCACAGCTTCATCGTGTGGAGACTTGACCCCTCGCTCCACCAAGGAGGCCTCTCTGGGGTTTTTCCTCTCTAGCTGCGAGGACTTCCTCTCTGATTCTTGAGCATGCAGATGCTCTCTGCTGTGGGTGCTTTCATTGACCTTCTCTGGCCTCAAACGCACCCCTTCACATTGTAATCTGGCTAACACCCCTTGCTCTGAATTTTTGCTCAAAACCACTGCTTTAATGACTGACAATTCTAGTTATAATTTCACCCTCCTTCCCATGGCAGTAGCAATGCGGGTCCTTCCTTATACTGCTAATATTTCATCGTTCACATGACTTGTTTCCATAACTTAGAAGCTGTTGCTTCGGTGGTGTGATAATTATTTTCCATGTTGTATTATTCCACAGATTTGCAACATTTGTTATAGAAACAAATGCTGTTTACTTAATACAGAATTGCCTGGAATGCATGGTGGTGCTGGCTTCCTTCCTCCCCCAGTAAATACTAGCCCCCAGTGCTAAAGAGGTGTAAGGTCACGGGAAGAATTCGAGAGCTTTTAACAAAAGGAATCCAACCCCATGTGTATTTATGGAGCACTGGTCTGAGTTGGATGATGATATGATTGACTGACGTTTCGACCAAAATGTTGCCCAGCTGGACCCCTAGATGCTGGGGGGTTTCTGACCTGCCTGGTAGGTTGCCATCGCATACAGCACATGTGGTAAGCTCTTGGAGTTGGCGTTAACTGGAAAAAGCAAGGCATTCTTGAGGGAGAGGACCAGCTGCAGAAAGTCTAGATAGAAATTTTGGAAAACGAGCATAATAAGCGCCTAAGTACCTGATGTGATGGAAGGGACCATTTCTTGACGAGCGTTACCAAGGATGTTTCTTGGCCGTTTAAGAGTGTATTGTTTGATTTGCTTTGATTGTGTGTGGAGGGACTTGGAATCAAGGTTGTACTATGTTCTTGTGAAAATTCAGGGTAAATGAGGGATTAGACTCTTTTTTCAAGTGTGCTCTGATTGTCTATGCTACATTAAAATTTGTCAAAGACATCATTGACTGGAGCAGACATTTCCCTCCAATATTTCTGTATTTCCTGGCTGCGCTGTAGCCATGAAATCACTTCATGGACCGTACAACATCGGCTTTTACTGAAAATTCAATAGTGCCTTACCTTGACAGTTCTAAAGAAACTCTGTCGGCATGACAGTCTATGTTTATGAGCGATTGTAAAGTAGATTATGGTAGGTAATCATTTACTGAGGACGATATACTTGCCGGGCACAGTGTTAGACGTGGTAATCTAATAATTTCATAAATGAATTACATAAATTAAATAAAATAATGAAATAGTGACAGTTGAGCAGGCTAAAGAAGACAGACCGTGCTGTGAGAGCATAAAGCTGAGGAACCGACAGCCTGGCGTTCTTGGACGATGTATCTCTGGGAAGGATGCGCCCATTGACATCTGAAAGATGAGTGTGTCTTAATTTGGAAGGGGGATACAGGTTTCATCGCATGCGAGAAAGGCTGTGGGAACAGAGGCTTGTGGGGAATGTGAGCTAGGCTACGCAGGGCAAAACCTGTAGGCCAAACAATTTTTTTCCTGTAAAGTGGTGGGAAGATTTTGAATAGTTTTAGGTCAAGGAATAGTCTAATAAGATTGGTGGTGTGAAGCAGCAGGTGAAGCTCCATTGGGAAGGAATTTGCAGTGTGGAAAGCTAGCTAAAATATTTTGAGATGTCGAATCAGAAGATGGTGGCATCTAAGGTGGTGAGAAATTGATGGATTTGAAATTGAATAAGTCGAGTCTGAAGGATTTGGTGATTGTAAACTGGACATCACTCTTAATCTCTGTCATTCATCTAATTTTTCATGAAATTTCTTCTAAGAGATCAGGTTTTTTCATTGTTTTTTCAGAGATTAAGAGATTAGCAATCTTATTTCTTCAAGTTTGCTTTATGAAATAGGGAATGATGTAGTTGCAAGAGATGAGTATCTAATTATCATGGCAGTTATTCAGTTAATTAACAGACATTGAAATTAAATGATAAAATAACAGAATAAAGGGCCCTCCCTGGTGGTGCAGCGGGTTAAAGCACAGCACTAAGAAGCTAAGCCACGTCAGCACGAGTTCGATTCCCGCCTGCCCTGGAGGAGATCCACAGGGCGCTGCAGACCTCTCCTGGCCTGCCCGCTGCTCCCTCAGCCATGTACTTGGTCAGTCGGCCTGTTCTGCTCTCCACTCTGTCTCTGGTGAATTCTCTCACCACCCTGCACCTCTGGTGGGTGCCCCAGTTCTGAATACATAAATAAATAAATCTTAAAAAAAAAAATAACAGAATATAAGAAGAATTCACTTACGTAGCATTTTCGTTATAGAATATGGCTTTTGGTGGGTTGACCTATGTTGCCCCAAGTGCAGGGTACTAGGGCACCAGACAGAGAAACTCATAAGGGAGAATACACCAACATTTGGATGTTTGAGGGTGGCTTTAGCTTTTCTGGGCTGTGGTGTGCATTTAGGGACCCCACCGCCCAGTGTGCAGACCAGAAATGGGTTAGGGGTCTGGATCTCAGGTCCCAGGTAGAAAAGATCAATTCAGAAGAGACCTGTGACCCAGGAAGACACCCTTGGACTGGATTCTGACTGCACTCTTGCCTCTCTGGGTCCACATCTTCCTGCTTTATCATCTGTTTGGGGCATCAGGGTCATTTCTGTAATTTAGCTTCATAAACAGTGCTGTAGTAAACATGGGTGTAAGTTCCCTTGAAATTAGTGTTTTTGATTTTTGGGGGGGTTAGGAGTGGAATTCCTCAGTCGAGCGCCAATCCACTTGGAGTGCTTTGAGACACCGCTGCAAGGCTCTCCTTAAGGGCTGGGCCGGCAGTGGAGAAGACTTCCCCTGTGTCTACTTCTCCAGCATTGGTTTCTGCTCTTTTTGGTACGGGCCCATCTTGTGATCTTGGTTTAGCATTATTCTTCCAAAATAGAGCACTTGAATGTTACATGGAAGTTCATAGGCACCACTAGGACAGTTGGGAGGATCTTAGACTTCTGTGACGGGGCTTTTCGCCGCTACCATGTGGGAGACGAAGTACATTTGTAGACCAGAAAGGGCTTTAGCGACATATTAAAGTTGTGTTTCCCAGTTCATATGACGTAGTCTTTGGTGAACCCAAAGACTTATTTTCTGCTTTGTCTGTCTCACGTCCCATCACCTCTGCTCTCTGAAGCATGAGGAGAATGTTGAGAACTTGCTTCTGTGACTTTTCATTTTGATTCTAATTCAGAGGGTCAGTCAGTGACCATTAGTTCTTTGATTTCTCTGTTAAATGTCCGGTTTCATTGAAGTTGACATGTCAAAGCATCAATGACTAGACCACTTAGGTGTTTCCCACCTAGATATTTAAGAAGTGAGATCATTTACTGTAAGAGGGCGATGATATCTGTGTAGGGCCTTTGCCTGTCACAGTGTGATGCACTTTACCTCGTGCACCTCATTCCTCTGGAAACTCAGCACTAACTGACTAACACTAACTAACTAACTAACTAACCAACGTCGTCTAATGTGTGCAGGGCAGAGCCGGGCAGGCGCGGCTGCTGCTAACTCTGACTTCTCACTGTCTGTTTCCCTATAATTCTGATTAATTAATCAGAAGTCAGTTTGTACTTCAGTGGACTGAACAAACACATCATCTCTCTGTCACTTTTGAGGGTACCAGGGTTATTGCAAAGATAGTGAGGCAGCCCGTGCGTGGCGGGGCGGTGCTGCCTTTCCGGGTTGATGAGAGGCCAGAAGCTCGGTCACTGGCCGACTGCCTGTGCAGTTTCGGGACAGCTGTTCCTGCTATTAGACTTTGTTTCTTTCTTAACCATCCTTGCTATGCCAGGAAAAGGGCAGACAGTTTTCCTGGTATATGATGGTTAAAACTATGCGTGAGAAATAACATGGAAATACTCGGTTCTCCTTGCAGACTGTGGGGATCAGCAACGATAATGTCAAAAATGTTAACTGTCTGGAATGGCTATAGCCCATCCTCGCAAGCTATTTCCAAGTAAAAGTGCTGTAGGGATTGATTTTTTTTTTGACAGCTGTTCGTACATTTTTGCTGATTTTGAAGATGTGCTAAGATACTGCTCTTGTAGACATGCTTTAGACTCCACTCATGTCAAATCTCACTTCGGCCTCTCCCTCTATCCCTTTACAGGATGATGAAGTGGTCCTGCAGTGCTCGGCAACCATCCACAAAGAGCAACAGAAACTGTGCCTGGCAGCAGAAGGCTTTGGCGACAGACTCTGTTTCTTGGAGTCCACTTCGAATTCCAAGGTAGGATCAAGCCTTGCGAGGTGACTCACATATGCAGGTTTTACTGGAGGCACTGAAGTGATTTATGAGCACACCGCTGTTATCGTGTCACGCATAAGCTCAAGGGCACGGGAGAATTTTTCTTGCAATTCACTAAGCCCATTTTTAATTAAATCACTACTCTCTGCAAATGATTCAGGTTGATTGTTTATAACAGGCAAAGTCCTTGCCCTGGGAGGTTGATATTTCAGTGGAAAAGTACACAAGTAAGCAGGTGATGTAATTTTCAGAAATGAGAAGTATTATGAAGAAAAGGGAGACATGGGCGAGCGACGAGGCAAGGATTTGCCTTGCACAGGGGGTTTTGGGAAGCTCGTTCTGCGGTATAGCAGTTGAGCCGACCTGGAGGAAGTGAGGGGGTAAGCAGATCTAAGTTCCCTCGAGGCCTACCTGGGAAGGTGGGCTTTTGGAGCAGATAAGCAAAGTGATGGGTGAACTTTAAGGCTGATTTTTATTTCACTGAGAGCGTGTGGAGAGAGCCAGGGTGGACGTGGAGAAACTACTTGGACGATATCGGAGCTGTCTGGATGGCAGCTGACAGGTTTTAGATCAGAAGCCCCGTGGTGGGAAATGTGTGGGTGGCTGAAGATTTGCTGGATCTGTGAAGAGTTCGGATATATGGAGTAAGGGGGAGAGCGGAGACGCGGATGTCTCCAGGGCAGATGGGACCCAAGGAGAAACAGTCCACGTGCCCCTCGGCTATTTCCCCGTCTTTCACGTGGCACGTCAGAGAGCCTTGACACGTGTGAACTGATTTGGTTGTCGCAGGAAACAGCGTTGCTTTCTGTCATTGTGCGGACGAGGACATGAGTAGCTGAGTAGCTGCACCTGACCCTGAGCGTGTGACCGGAGGCCATAGGGGGTCGCCAGTGGCCTTGTAGACTTGCACTTGGTCTTATGACGTTGCGTCACCGAGTCTTTCTTTCATAAGCTGGAGCCCCTTGGGTTACTGTGCAATAATCCAGCGGTGTGTTCGTGTATGTTACCTATTCTGGTGGTTTAGTGGGACGGCATCAGGCTTGCCGTGGGTGGCAAATACCAACACTTCATAGCTCTGCCGAGACTGATTTTAATCTGACAACTGTCTGCTGGATAGTCTCTGCACAAATGACTGCAGTAGGTGTTGGTGGTGAAAAAATTCTTCTTCCAGAGAAAAATTAGGCATTTTAATATTAACATTTTCTTGTGGTTTCTGATATTTTCTTGCGGCTAGAACCAGGCGGACCACTTAGTTAGCGGCTTCTCAGCATCTGTATTACTTCGAAAACTTTAATAGCTGCTATTTTCCTGTTCCTTTGCTACATGAGCTGGCTTGTAATGCTGCACATTGATGCTTCTAGGGTTTGGAATCCATGAACCTGGTTGATGGCTCGTAGGAATACTTGACTCTTACAGATGACCAGTGGACTGAACATTTTGACCATTTTTGCTGTTGGACTCGCTGGTATTTTTCTGGTCTACCCGAAAACTTGCATTTAGCATAAGTTAGTGGCTTACCCAGCATTGGATAAAATAGCAATCGGAGTCAGTAAGCCCCCTGAAGTGTGTGTGTTTGAAAGTACTCGCAGTCTGTGTGCTTCTTTTCTCTTAAAGTTACGCAACGATTCCCCGCTGTCAGGCATTTTTTCCCTGTCTCTGTTTGCTTTTGTTTTCCCTGATGTGCATCTCTTGCCTGTACTTTTCTGCCTGTCGAAATAATGTTTGTCCTGCAAAACTTGTTTCAAACAGTCTGGGATGCTCTAGGATCTGCTTCTTAAGTAAGTGCTTACTCATCTGCTGTCTTGCCAGTTTGGGCTCGCGTCTGGATCAAATCTGCTCTGCCCTCGCTTTCTGAATGCTGCTATGCATGTCAGCAACACAGCAGCTGGTAAAGTCCCCGGGGACCAGAGCTTGTCACATTTGTTTTCCTACCTCTGAGTGACAGACACAGAGCCTGGAACTAGTAAATGGTCTGTAAGAATTAGTGCATGATTAAGTTGAAAGGGGTCCACGAGGCCTGGGCAGTTTTATTTTGTGTACAGCAGACTGCTATAACAGAGGCAAACTCTAGATCTCAGTTGATGTGAAAATATATGAGTCTGGGCACAGGCGTGCTCACAGCTAATTCTGGCCTTGACTTTCCTTGGCAGAAGATGACAGACAGCCATTCCCCTTCTCCTGTCAGTAGCCTGCCTTTGTGTTAAGGTGGCCAAAGTTGGCCATGAGTGATCAGTTCCTCCAATTTATATTTGCTTTCCAGGGATGAGTCTCGTGCCGAGCTCCCCCTGCCGGAGTTGGGTTGAACCCACCCCGATACCAGTAAAATTCCTTCAAGGAATTTTGAAACGTCCTGGGTTTCTTCCCTTGAAGCTTGGGAAGTCGCCCCCAGCCTGGATGTCCCCTGGCCTCCTCCTGTTCTTTCTCTTCAGTGGCCACCAACCTAGTTCCCGAACTCTCTGGGGTGTCCTGGGGCTGGACGGGTGGTTCGAAGCATTTAGGTGAGTGCTCAGAGAGCCTATCAGTCTTCTTGGTGTGGTTGTTTCAGGGGTGAGGGGGTTCCACCAGGTTGTGGACAGAGCCCCCAGATGAAGAGGTTCTCCCCACAATGGGATGCGACAGAGCAATGTTTTATCTTTGGTGACTTCTCATTTCAGGATATTATTCACCAGCATAAATAATGTATCGGGATATTAATGATGCATAGTAGTTGTGATATTCCTGATGAGCTGATTTTCTTATTCCAGTGAGAATTTTTGAAAAATAAAAATGTCAGTGTAAGATAAATGTTGAGTGATAGAAGAAGGTACATTTTCCAGATCAAGCTATTAAATGTGTAAAATAGATACTTGTTTCTCAGTATGTTTGCCTTAAAAATTGAGGTGATAAAATTTCATTATAGGAAAACAAATACTAAGTTCGTTATTGTTTTGTTGTTACAGTTACTTTCTTGACCGTGTCTTTCACAGAATTTCACCTGAGTGAGAGAGAAAAGACACAGGTTGGGCAAAAAGATGAGTTATTCTTCGTGTTTTTAAAAATCTTTGTGTTTCGCTCATATAATTTTCCTCTTAGAGTTCTTTAAGCAGAAAGCAGCGTACATGGCTGGTGTGGAAGAAGGGTTATGTCCCAGAGGTATACCAATATCCAGGTGGTCGAGAATAAATGATCGTGCACTTAAATGAACTCAACGGTAGAAGAGGAGTTACAAGAAACTAAGAATCTTAGCAGTTCATTATGTTGTCCAAGTGGAACTGTTTATTAAATTATGAACTCTTAAATTTTGTCAAAATAATTCTTAGCTTTTTTTCCTTTAGGGTTTAATTTTGTTTAATTATGTTTAATTTTGTTTTTGTCTATGCATGCATTCAAGAATGGGGTGCAGGCCAGAGGTATGGGGGGTGAGAGGATTCACTAGAAACACAGATTGACTGAAACACACTGCTGAGGGGAGCAGTGGGGAAACAGGAGAGGTCTGCTGCGCCCTGGGGTCACTCCCTGGCCAGGATCGAACTCATGATGCAGTGGCTGTGACAGCTTCACAGTGCTGCGCTTTAACCTGTTGTGCCACCAGGGAGGACCCCTTGGAATATTTTAAAGTATGCTCATTATACTCAAAGAAAAGTGTCCGATTTTCTATTGGGCTTCTTAAAAAGAAACAAAAAATTTACAAAACTCTGAAACCTAAGATTGCAAAATAATCTAACATAGACCTCAGGAGAAGTGTCGCACTGTTGAAAACAGCTGGAGAAAAACTAGCTGCTTTTTACCTTTGCTAAAGGTATATGCAAGCTAAGAATGGTACAGGGTAGGGACTGTGACTTAGATTATCATATATTATTGTAATAATAGAGAATAGAATGAAGAGTAGGGGAAGGAGAAGCTGTCAGTTTAGATAATCAGAGCTGAATTAAGTGAATACCTGTAAAATACTAAGCTGCAGGTCTTACACATTGTGTTTATTTCTCGATCTGAGAATATAATTTATCTGTCACTAGAGTGCACCCATTGCAACAAGGGATGATCAAATCAGGACTTGGCACACTTTTTCTGTACAGAGCCAACTAAGGGGTACTTTAGGCTTTGTGGGTTGTGTTTTTTAAACTCGTCAGCTCTGACAGCGTGGCATGAAAGCAGCCATCGATAGTATATAAACAAATGATTATGACTATTTAAAAAACACCACTGTATTTATAGACACTAACATTTTAATTTATTATGATTTTTATATGCCACCAGATACTATTTATTCCCCTTGTGACTTTTTTCCAACCATATAAAGATGGAAAAGATACACTTAGTCATGGACTTTATGGAAATAGGCAGTGGGCCAGGCCAGAGTTGGCCCAAGCACTTAACCGTTTCTCTCCTTGATGTAACATGTGAAATAGATTCATAAAGGAAAAGCTGGAACCGATACAGTAGAAGACATACTCAAAGCTATCATAGAAGATCTCCTGAGGTTGTGGAAAAGAATACTCTGTCTGCAGCTGCTTGTCAAGTGTTCCGAGATAAAGGCATGGTGGCCTTTGAGCAGGATTCCTTGCAGATGGCTCATCACTAAGTTCATGAGTGTGTTTGACGGCTGGGTGAGGGAGAGAATAAATGCACCCAGTAAGAGTTTGTTATGAAGAACGCACTCTACAAGGATAAGGAAGGCAATGGAAGAGAAAGACAAGCCCTTGTCGGTGACTGAGAATGACAGGTGTTCCTTGGGTCTGTGGAGAATTTCAGGTGCCTTGTGATGGGCACAATGGCAGTTGAACGATAGAGACCCAGAAAAGCTTTAGAATCTTGGACTGCATTATCCGTAGGTGCCTGTTAGCGACGATGGAGCCAGACACTAGTAAAATGCTAAGGATGAGAGTCCAGGGTGAAACGAATTCAACTTCAGTTTGTACACAGGCGATTGGGTGCTTTTAAAGGGAGAAGGTGGGAGACCTAGGGGTGGGGAGCTTGGTAGAATACAGGAATTGATCATTGCA